GCACCTTTGGGGTAGTCCTGTCTCCTCGCTGAAACTTAAGGTTGTGGTATTTGTCTTCATAAAGGAAACTAAAGTCATTAGACGTTGTACTTGTTAGTGCATCCACTGTTCGAAATTTGCACTTGCTTTGCATCCAGTAAGTTCTTCTGAAATTGCCTTCAGGTTGACTGGCCCATGTTACCTGCAGCAATTAGGACATAAGGGGAAATGCTCTAGTGGGATATTTTGATCATTAGAGCAGGATGCAGTTTAGGTTTCAGTAGTTTTGAGCAAAAGTTTATTTCCATTCTGTCGGATCCTTGTCAGACATCTCCCATTGTCAAATGAATGTGTTTAGCAATCAAAGAGCAGCTGGTGCAAGAAAATAGATTCTGACTGTTGGATTAAGTGGCGTTCTGTAGAAGTATGACTATTTGTTACTCTATTAAATATATCTAGTTGGTAAGTTGGAAAACTAGGGAGCTGAAATGTAACATTTCTTCCAGATCTGCTATGAAAATCTGCTTAGAACTATTCACTCAATTGTACTTGCCTTAGGCACACCATCTGTAAAATGTGTATGTCACACTGTAATAAGACATCTTCATGTAATCTTATGAGAGCTTTGTGTGAGGTGTGCTTTGTAAACGTATATTGCTTTATTATTGAACACCAGGATGATTCATTAAAACGATACATAGATTTCAGCTCACCGCTCATTTCTCTGGGCTGTATAAGAAACCTGAGAGTAGTTGGTATCTTGGCAAGATCAGTTTTGCAACTTGGAAGATAAGGATAAGTTTAAGCAGCACTTGTGGACTATCTATGTTTCTGATCCTCCCTTTTGTGGTGACAATTGGCTTTAAACAAATAAAAAAAATTGAACTGGAACACAGCCGTTTCTGGGTATGAACTGATGGAGGCCGATTTAGGGATCCAGAATCGCAGGGCAACATCAGAAGCCAGGCAAGTGGTAGCAACTGGTGAGATCGTTTTATGAGGAGCAAGGAAATGTTGGTTGTGAATGCAGGGGATCAGGAAAAGTTAAATGTTATGTCCCTTGAGTAGGAAAATTAGGCTAAGAGTGGAGCCAAGAGAAATGAACCTGAAGGTGTGCACAAGGGTTGAGTCATGGAGGACTGAATCCCTGGAGGGCTGCTACCAGTCAATGTAGGTCAGGGGTAAAAAATGTGGTGTCCTCCAGATGTTTTTGACTACCATTGATGATTGGTCATGTTGGTTGGGGCTGACAGGAGTTAAAGTCCAACAATATGTGGAGCATATCAAGTTGGCTACCTACGGTCTACACAGTACTGAGCTAGGAGAACAACTGGTCTGACTTGGCATGGGGTAGCTTCTCCTGTTCCTTGAGACCTCTGCTGGACACCTTTGAGGATCGCTACTAGTTGGAGTAGAGCCCTGGGCTAGATGAACCAATGGCCTGAATTGTTCTTGAACAATGTTCTCTTATTGCCTCAAACTGTTGCAGCTGACATCAATTTGCCAGGCAAAAGAAAACTCTTGGAGAACTTACTGGATGATGCAGAAGAGCTTGTGCTAGGTACATGGAGACATGCTATGGCCAATGCTTGTGTTTTAAATAAACCCATTAGAGTTTCTGATGGAAGCTGTGGATCAGATTATTTTCACAATTTCTGGCCCATCTTACCAAGCAGTGACCACCAATCATGTTTTGAACCTTTCAGATGCTTGATATCATTCCCTTTAGATCATTATTTTCAAAGAAGGACACAGCAAAACCAGAACCCCTGATTACCATACATGGCTTAAAGGTCACTAGCCATGAAGACCTGATGTCCACCTTTGTTTTTGTTCTCTCTCTTCCCTCTCTCCTTGCCAAGCTCCATTCTCTAAATCTTCTCTTTATAATCCTGACAAAACAAAATTATTCTAATTTAAAAATACATATAAGTGGTTTTATCTTCACTCATCCTAAGCTTCTTTTCTTTGTTTAGTTTTTCACAGAGGAGGGTGTGAGAATACTGACTCTTTCTCTCTAAAAAAACAAAAACAAAAAACAAGTAGGGCACTATTCCCTAGATACATAGGAATCATATTCTCCCTGTCTCTATGAGATATATATATATATATATATTATATGAAAACTATTTTGGTATTTAAGTATTAGGGGAAATTGCTGGGAATTTCTGGAGAAAACATTGAATCAAGGACATAAAAACCACACTTTCCCTTCCAGCACTTTGCTTTTCGTATGCAGTACATTTTGCAAGCAAATGAATATCTCAAAGTATGTTGATATTAGAAAAAGAAAAGTGTGCATGCAGAGGTGACTGTGGGGGGTGGGGGTGGGTGGGAGCTAAAACCAGACACCTTCTTCCCCAAGTTCATCCTTTGCAGCATTTGAGTCATTTTATTATCTTTGTATAGTTGGATGTTATTGCGATTATTTGCTGTCATAATGACTTCTCATTATTATTATTTTCCAATTTTAAATACCAAATCTCATGTTTGCCTTGTAGTGGGTGAGGGAAATTGTGGTACTATACAACCTTTGTCTTACTCACCCATGGGGCAAAACACAGCTTTGGGCAAGCAATTCAGATTGGACTGCGTTGATTCAATTCTCTCCCCTTCTCCTCCCCTTTTGGAAAAACCAGTCACAGATTTCCTCATATCACATCTAGCTTGATTCTCATTGTTTTGACTATTGGAATGCCTTAAAACTACAGTTGGTTAGGAACAGGGCTGCAAGCTTCTTAACTGGGACTGAACTGATTCCTCATATTACTTATGTGCACGTTTAGCTGTGAATTGGCTGCAATCATTTATTCATTTGCAAGCCTTTATAAACCACTTAATGTTTTCAAAATGTCTAAGTTGAGTACAATATAAAAACAAATAATATCATTAAAGAGAAAACAAAGCATAAAACAAAAAACCAGTATAAACACACATAAGAACAAAACAGGAATCCACACAAATTCAGACACATAAACCATAAAATAGTGTCCGCTCTTACGGATCAGGGAAAGCCAGAACAAAAAAGACAAGTCATTTGAAGCAAATGATAGTTGCTACTTCATGTATAACAAAGGGAAGGGCATTTCATAACACAGGAGAAATAACAGAAAATGCCATTTTCAGTTCACCACCCTCAGACCCTCCAAGTGTCCCTATTTTCCAGGGATGTTCCTAATTTAGAGAAGCTGTCCCAGTTTCTGACTTGATCCCAGAATGTTCCGCTTTTCCTTATTACGTCCCTGTTTTCATTGGAGGAATGTTGGAGGGTATGGAGTTATCTGACCACTGAGCCATCTGAAGGCAGCCCTGTATAGGAATCTTTTAAAAAATGTTTAATGTTTTATTGTGCTTTTCTATATGTTGACAGGCTTGCCATACGTCAGGAAAATTCCTGGCATGTCCTGGTTTTCTGTTGTAAAAATGGCGTCAGCAGGGAATTTTGCCAAACTGGCAAAATGTCAGGGGAAACCCCGAAATGCGATGGAAAAGGCAATGGAAACAGCTCCCAAAACTCAACAATTTTGCTTTGTTCCCAAAGAAAGCGCAACAATTTTGTGGGTGTCAGGAATTTTACTTTTTGAAATATGGCAACCCTTTATGTTGGAAGCTGGCCAGAGTGGCTGGGGCAACCCAGTAAAATGTGAGGGGTATAAATAGTAAAATTATCATTATGGAATAGTACATGGCTGCTGCTGCTGCACTGTGAGTTGGGGAAGGCCGCTCCCCCCTCAGGCTAATTCCACCTGGCCCAGGGGGCGGGGCCCAGACTGACTCACCACCGCCACAGCTTAAGAGGCCTCATTGAGGCACTGGGACACTGCTGCTGCTGCTGCACCGTGGGTGTTGAGGAAGGCCGCTCCCTCCTGTAGGCCCATTCCACCAGGCCTAGGGGGCGGGGCCCACACTCGCCGCCGCTACAGTTTTAAGGTCACTGGTGTTACTGCAGCAAATGTTAAAAATGTTTTTATATATTTTAGTGTTGTAAAGAGGTTTTTACTTTTTACTTTGTTGTACCACCGTGAACGGTGGTTTTCGTTGATGTATTTTTATTTTGTTCCGTTTTATTTTGGTTTGGGGTTGGATATTGAGTGGGGTGGGGATTTGTTTTGTTTGGTACAATTGTTTTTGGTTTGATTTGTTTTTTCTATTTTGTAAATGGAGGTTGGTTTGAGGCTTGGGATTGCTACTGTAATGGGGCGAGGGAGGTATGGCGGTGGGGGCAAATGTCATAGGCAAAGGGGATTGAGATACGGATATGCTCGTACCCCTTCCAATCTGCGCCCCATCCCGAGGGACGAGGGTAGGGTGAGCAAGGATTACTCACCTCCGTCACTGGTGTTGTGCAATGCCAGGTCTATAGGCAACAAAACCGCCACCCTGCGAGATTTCTTCACCTCGCAGGGGGTTGAACTTGCTTGTGTGACGGAGACCTGGGTGCGCGAAGGGGAAACTGTTACCTTACGAGAGATGGCGCCCCCGGGTTTCTCCGTCCTCCACCAGTCACGGACTGTGGGCCGGGGGGGGGAGGGGTGGCATTATTAATCCGGGAAGATTGTTCTTTCAGGGCTCTACCATCGCCATCGATCCCCGGCATTGAATGTGTTGGCCTAGTGTGGGGCTCTGAGGTGAGCTTGGCTGTCTGGCTGGTGTACCGGCCACCTAGCGCACCAGCAGCCACCCTGCCAGGCTTGCTGGAGGCGGTGGCCGGCTGGGCCTTGGAGTTCCCTAACCTATTGGTACTGGGGGACTTCAGCATCCATGCTGATGCCACTCCCTCCTCACAGGCTCTGGACCTGGTGTCTTCCATGGCGACACTAGGGCTCTCCCAGTTTGTTTTGGGCCCCACACATCAAGCAGGCCGCACGCTGGATTTGATCTTTGGCGTCGGTATAGATGTGATCCTGTCTCCTTCGATGAAGGTGCCATGGTCTGATCACTACACTCTGAAAGCCAGGATTGATTTTCCACCCCCACCCTGCTTAGGTGGCAAGCCAATTTGGGCTCGCCTGCAGAGGCTGATGGACCCTGATAGATTCCGTCAGGCATTGCGGGACCTTGCTCCCCCTGGCGACTCATTGATTGAGCTTGTTGAGGGCTGGAATATCCAGCTCCTAGCAGCCATCGATGAGATCGCACCTAGGCGCCCTCTGCGACCCCGCAGAAACCGGGCTCCCTGGTTTACCGAGGAGCTTCGGAAAATGAAGCGGGACCTCAGACGGCTAGAGCGAGTATGGCGGGGTGCCCGTGATGGAGCCTCAAGAACATCTTATAGGGTTTTTATGAAAACCTACGAGATGGCAGTGAAGGCCGCTAAGAAGTCCTACTTCTTGGCCTCCATTGCCTCCACTAGCTCTCGCCCGCGCAATTATTTAGTATAATTAGGTCTTTAACGTCCCTTGAAGGACAGCCAAATTTAAATAACAATTTGACACACAGCTGTGAGGCATTTGCGAGCATTTTTGCGGAGAAGGTCCTGTTGCTCCGCCATGACCTCCCTGCCAATTTGGATACAATAAAGGAACTGGGGGCCCCTCGACTGTCCTCGGGTCCAGTATTGGACCACTTTGACCGGATATCCCCAGCCGATGTGGAAAGACTCCTCCGAGCTGGAAAGCCCACCACCTGTCCTCTTGACCCGTGCCTGTCTTGGCTGATTAGAGCGTGTCCAGACAATGTGCGGGGCCCCCTAGGTGATATTATCAATTTGTCCCTTGGCACCGGGATATTCCCAGGGGAACTGAAGGAGGCAGTGGTGCGTCTGCTCTTAAAGAAAACATCATTAGATCCCTTAGATCTATCCAATTACCGCCCGGTTTCGAATCTTCCATTCCTGGGTAAGGTGATTGAGAGAGCGGTTGCTGAACAGCTTGGTAGGTTTCTGGATGAAACATCGGCTCTTGATCCATTCCAGTCCGGCTTCCGCGCTGGTCATGGGACCGAGACGGCTCTGGTCGCCCTAACAGATGATCTCCGCAGGCAGCTGGATCGAGGCGGGTCGGGGCTGCTGATTCTTCTAGACCTGTCAGCAGCCTTCGACATGGTCAATCACGAACTCCTGGACCACCGCCTTGCCGACGTGGGGATCCAGGGCACAGTCCTTCAATGGCTGCGCTCGTTTCTCTCTGGTCGGGGACAGAGGGTGGCGCTTGGGGGGGAATTGTCATCGCGCCACTCCTTGGTGTGTGGAGTGCCTCAGGGTGCGATTCTCTCCCTGATGCTTTTTAACATCTTTATGCGCCCCCTCGCCCAGCTTGTCCAGAGTTTTGGGCTGGGTTGCCATCAGTATGCCGATGACACCCAACTCTATCTGTTGATGGGTGGCCATCCAGACTCGGCCCCAGACACACTGACCAGATGTCTGGAAGCTGTGGCTGGATGGTTACATGGGAGCCGGTTGAAGTTAAATCCTTCGAAGACAGAGGTCCTCTGGCTGGGACGGGGCGATATGGGATTGAGGGGGCAACTCCCATCTCTTGGGGTGCAATTAGTGCCAGCATCGTCCGTTAAGAGTTTGGGTGTAATCTTTGATACCTCCCTTTCTATGGAGGCGCAGATTACAGCTATAACAAAGGCGGCATTTTTTCATCTCCACCAAGCTAAGCAGTTGGCTCCTTATCTCTCTTGCCCTGACCTAGCCACTGTGATCCACGCGACGGTCACCTCCAGACTGGATTATTGTAACTCGCTCTACGTGGAGCTGCCCTTGAGACTGACCCAGAAACTCCAGCGGGTGCAGAATGCCGCGGCGAGACTCCTTATGGGGTCTTCGCTGCAAGATCATATTCATCCGGTACTATACCAGCTGCACTGGCTCCCGGTGGAGTACAGGATCAGGTTTAAGGTGCTGGTTTTAACCTTTAAAGCCCTATACGGCCTAGGACCCTCGTACCTACGGGATCGCCTCTCCTGGTATGTCCCACAAAGAAATTTACGGTCTGCAAATAAAAACATCCTGAAGATCCCAGGCCACAGAGAGGTTAGGCTGGCCTCAACTAGAGCCAGGGCTTTCTCGGCCGCGGCTCCAATCTGGTGGAACGCTCTGTCACAAGAGACTAGGGCCCTGCGGGACCTGACATCTTTCCGCAGGGCCTGCAAGACAGAGCTGTTCCACCAGGCCTTTGGTCAGGGCGCAGCCTGACCCCTCCTCTGGCAATCTGCACAGAATTTTGCTTAATGGTTGCCATCAATTTGATTTTAATTAATTTTATAATGAATGTTTTTAGAATGTTGGATTATTTTGATTGTTGTTAGCCGCCCTGAGCCCAGCTTCGGCTGGGGAGGGCAGGATATAAATAAAATTTATTATTATTATTATTATTATTATTATTATTATTATCATCCCTATTTTCACTGGAGAAATGGGGCACAGTCTTTCCGATACCCTGATTTCAAGTTGTTCAGGACATTATATAGAGATCAAGACCTTGAATATGGTCAGTAGGGGAGGGTGCAGTCCGCAAATTTGGAATTTTTTTAGAATGTATCATGGGTAGCCGGCACAAAATGGCTGCCATGGGATGTGTGAGGCATACAACACAAAAAGTGCAGAAACAAAGGCAAGGCCACAAAATCTTGTTGGCATTCCACTCAGTAGCCACTCCCATTAATGTGGAAGGGGGAAAGCATCTATATCAGCCACCACAACGCTTGCTTAGAGAGGGAGAAACATTGTGTACCTCTCCTATGTTCAGAATGCATCGTGGGTCTTAAATCCTGGCATCTTCTGTGCCCATTCTTAAGTGACTGCTGGAAACCATTATATTCTGTCAGGCCTATTCAGGCAGTTAAGAGTACAACCCTCACAATGGGTTACCAATCTTTGTTTTTAGCTTCGCTGTTTTAAAACCTGTTTTTAACACTTATTGCTTTTATCGTCTGGTTTCATCTTATTTTTACTGTTGTAAAGTGCTTTGATACATTTTGGCGATACAGCAGTATATATTTTATAAATAAATAATAAATAAATAAATGTGGCCATTGAGGAGAGGCTGCATGTGCACTAACAGGAACTGATCACGAAGAATGTATTATACTGCTTTTATCTTATATTCAATCTGTCAGATCCTATTTTCAGTGTGAAACCTTGAGTTTCCACCCTCACTACTGATATTATCGCCGCAAGTTTTGTTGTGTGTGTATGTATGCGTGTAATCCACTCATTGTGTTTGTGTTGCCCTCTTTCAGATCCACTGTTCTGTCAGGTGTCGTTACATTCAAATGGTTAGCACCTCCACTTCTTATGTGCCGCACGCTAAGGATTAGTTTGCATTTTTTTTAAATTCTTCTCCTCTTCTGGGTCTTTGGCAATAGCATCGACGATTATTTGTATTTGCTAATAATATTATTTTGAACCTATATCTAAATTAGAAGGTGCCTCTCCACCACACATGTAGAACCTGTTGCTAAGCAACGAAACCCCATTATCTAGGGAATAATATTATACTGTATTGAACACCGACACAAATGGTGAATGGTCTCAGAGGAATGGTTTCTCAGTCACAATTCTGTTGCCAGACTACCACTCCATTACAGATGGTGGAGGAGAATTAAAAGACTAGCATTTCTAGTTTAATAGCTTATAGCTCTGTCATCCCGAAAACACACATTTCAGTTATATCAAGTCCAAATCACCAGAGTACATTAACCAATTAAATATTAAGAAGCCTACAGGATACAGGATGATGAATGCTGTCTGTTGTACGCAATGCTTACCATTCCAGTCTTCTTCAGGTGTGCATTGAAGGGTGATGATGAGGACCAGAGCCAAACTTCAGGGGCCTCTTAGCATAGGGGTGCCCTAGTGCAGGTTTAAGGAACCTTTGCTCCTGCAGAGGTTGCTGAACTACACTCCCATCATATCTGCCATGCTTCCTAGGGCTGATGGGAGCTGTTGTCCAGCAACAACTGGAGGGCCAAAGTTGCCCAAGTTCTGCCATTGTAGATGTGACCTGGCTCCTCAAGTAAGCACTGCACTTTAAACCTATCTCCCTGGGAACCTTGAGCTTAGTGAAGGCAAGACAGTTCCCACCAACTACACCTAAGATGCTCACTCAGGTATTATTATTATTATTATTATTATTATTATTAGGACGCGGGTGGCACTGTGGTCTAAACCACTGAGCCTCTTGGGCTTGCTGATCAGAAAGTCGGCAGGTTTGAATCTCCACTACGGAGTGAGCTCCCGTTGCTCTGTCCCAGCTCCTGCCAACCTAGCAGTTTGAAAGCACACCAGCATGAGTGGATAAATAGGTTCCACTGCAGCGGGAAGGTAAATGGTGTTTCTGTGTGCTCTGGTTTCCATAACAATGTTTCGTTGCACCAGAAGTGGTTTAGTCCTGCTGGCCACATGACCTGGAAAGCTGTCTGTGGACAAACGCTGGCTCCCTCAGCCTGAAAGTGAGATGAGCACCGCAACCCCATAGTTGCCTTTGTCTGGACAGGGGTCCTTTACCTATTATTATTATTATTATTATTATTAGGCACTCTCTCAGCCTGCTTCTTGCCTTTACATACTTCTGAGAACCCCAAAAAGAACATTTGAAGTCAAAATGGAAGCTGGCCAGCATGTGCAAGTCTATGACTCCCAGCTGTGATTGGTCAAGCTATGGGGTAGGGCCAATTTGTCTTTCCTTTTCTTCAATCCATATCCCATGTAGCGGTGGTGGGCTTTAAGCTTTCCAGTCAGGCCTCTACCATTACACAAACACACATTTCTGCAAGTGCCCTTCAAAGCTGCCCCAGTCATCTGCTGGAATCTTAGAAAATGAGGCGTGCGGGGGCACATTTATTTGGCCTGCACCAGAACCAGGAGCAAGCTAGCTAAGCAAACTTGCCCTAGTTTTTAGCACCTCTGCTAAACATGGCTGTTGTCAACCCGGCATCTGTTCAGGGCTGCCCCAAGTCACCCGATGACTTACTATAACAACTTCATGGTGAGTTCCAGCACCTACTTTTCTTGAAAAAAAGCACGATGGTGATGATGATGATGATGATCACACACCCTTCACCATAAGGTCCGGAAGGTGGGGGATACAACATAAATGCAACATTGAGAACAATGTAAAACATCCAAGGAATGGTAATATTTACCAAAAGAAAACTGAATAAAAAATATGGGGTTATCCTACTGTATTTACACAAATCTAGTGTACCATCTAATCTAATGCACATCTCAATTTTCAAAACCTTGAAACCAAAAATATGCATTTGCTGGCAAATGTGAATGCATTATGAAATCTAACGCGCACGCTAATTTTTGCAATGTAATTTGGCCAAAAAAGGTGTGCATTATATTCGAGTAAATACGGTATATGTTCTGAATCAGTGACCCAGTTTGTTTGCACACCAGGATAGTTCTCTAATTTGTATTGTGGAAGAACAGGTTGCTCTCTACATCCAATGCACACAAGCCCACCCTCTGTTGTGTTTCTACCTGCTGCCCAGGGACTAAATAAACAGTTTCTAAAATTCAGCCATTCTGACTAAAATACCCCCTTGTTATAGGATTCGTGTGTAACTTTTACTATTCACTTCCTAGCAACATGGTTCTTTTTATTATCTCAAATTCTAATTTCTTCGTTTGGATACCAGAGCATTTGCTTTGTGTTGCAACTGTGATTTTGATAGAAGGTGACATTTACCAAGTCTGATGGAGTCACTGAAGGGACACATTCTTTAAGTAAACATCTTTTTTTTCCCTCTCCTCCCCTCATTCTTTTGCAGCCTGCACTGATGTACCCCAATCGGATACAAGTTCAGGGTGGAGTGGCTTCAGCATGAAAACCTCCTACAGCTACATCAAAATTTCAAATATACTGACACCATACCTTTAAACTTTCTTATTTCTAATGGATGATCATGTACGCTGCCCTCCAGCAAGCAATGTACTGAATTCAGGGTGTATTACTTACAGCACTAAAACATTACTAGATACCTGGAAGGCTTCCTATCTTAGTGTGTTTTCCACTCTCCAGTCAGGTCATTATAATGCTGAGTAATATAACCTCCTCTTCCCCCTTTTGGGGATGCTGTGAAATACTCTGGCAATTTAAATGTGGATTAATTAACAGGCAAAAATCAGATTTGCATCTGTGCGTGTTTCTTTGTAAAAATAATGTGGTTTTTTTTCTAATAGAAAATACATTGGGCACTACCCAACTAGCTCACTCCATCAGTGCAAGGATTTATATGGAACTCCCAATCTCCACTCCTTTTCTCATTGTAGATGTCCCACACCCTCCCCAAACTTTCTCCAAAGTTTTGGAGGAACTTGTATAATCGTTTACTTCACAATGAAATGGAGAATGGTTAAATGTGTATTGCTAACTTTGGGGGTTTCCCATGGCAACATGCCGAGAGCTCTCTAAGCTCTGACTAGTTGATAATTAACTGTTATCCTTCTCTGCTAGCTCTGATGAATGTTTAACTTTAGATCACATGAGAGGCCATTGAATTGCAGATTCGCCATCTTGGAAGGGTGGCGGGTATAATCTTTGTTCTCAGACATCAGTGGAAGTAAGATGCCTCTCTAAGGAGCTGCATGGCCTTGGGGCTGAAATGCGGGCTAATGGAGCCTGTAAGAAGGGGGAATATGTTTGCCAGCTCTGATTTTATTTAATTTATTGTAAGATGCTGAGCCTGTCCTGGAAATGCACAAGATATTATACAGCTGTTTGGATGTATCATCTACAGTTTTTTGTTTTGTTTTGAAGAATGTTCTGCAAGTGAAGTTTTGAATCAATCTAATAGGTCTGCTTTATTCCAAAAGGAGTCAGTTTTTATGCATCCACTTGCATGCACAATGGAAAGTTCAACTCTGCAAACATAAATCCATACATTGTTGGAAATGAGTTGAATGCTGCCTATTCTTGATATCACCAATTATACATACACAGGGCTGCCATACATCCAGTGAATCCAGGCTATCGCCAGGATTTTGATCCCTAAAATGGCGCCCAGGTGGAATTTCTTATGTCCATTCTAAATGTCCAGGAAAGCCCAGACATATGGCAACCCATGCCATAAATGGTTTTTCTTTGGGGGGGGGTTTGCTGATCTTCTTAAAAGTAGCCAAAAAATATGGTAACCTTATACATACATATGTATAAAAACAAAGATATTATACAGATTAATGCTTTCTTGAAATTTGTTGATCCAAAGGAAGATAAAGTCTCCCCATTTGATTGGTGTTTCTGTCAGTTTGGTCAACGTTATAATAGTCTAACTCCTGTTAACCAGTCTATAATTATTGTTGCCCTGCGCTCGCCCTGCCAGCCAGCCAATTTTTAGCAATAGAACTTTTGTATTTAGCAATACAAATTTTGCTGCTACTTGCTAATTTCCAAGTCTGCTTCTAACATTGTGGTTTTAAGATTCTCCAACATAGTGGTATTTGGATCTAAGGATAATGAACATCCTGGTATTTCCTATTACTTATTGTAATCTAGACGGCCTGAATAATTGGGCACAGTATGTATAATCTATTTGCTGAGGGTGATTGAATGCCTAATGTCTTCAATCAAAGCACATATTTGATTGAAAAAAAGGGGGGAGTTCCACTTTTAACATTAAAATTTACTCTCTTGCCCATTCAGTTGAACCCCACAGCATGCATCTCTTAGGTGAAGTACAAATCCAAGGGAAAATGTTAGGAAGACTATGTTTTATGTTCTTGGTAGTTCTCAAATACCAATAAAATTAAAATCTGAAGGTAAATACGTTTACAGTATAATCCAAACACTTAATTAATGTGGGATTTGGGATTTTTTTTATCCTTTCAATACTCTTTCTTTCTTTCTTTCTTTCTTTCTTTCTTCCCATCTACACACACACACACACCATTAAAATTACCACTCACTGAAAACTTTTTAACATGCTGAATAGATAAAAAGCAACATTAAAACAAAACAAACAAAAACAGCTGAAATCATAGCTACACGTTATGAAATGGTGTGCAAAATACCATATTTAAATAACATATATACATAATTTTATTTGTATATATTTGAACCTTTCCATAGTTCAAACCATGCTGCTCATGGCAGCTTACAACATGAACAAAATACATGAATACAAAACATACATACATGAAAAAACACATAATTACAACATACCAAATGCCATCATAAACAATAAGTAAAACATCCAAAAATAGACAACCATACGAACAATGTCCACATAAATCCTAAGAAGATCTAAAGTAAAGATGCAAAAAATAATATAAATAAAAGCAACACACACACACCCCAAACCCCTTAAACAACCCCCCAGTCCAAGAGTCTGTTTAGCAGCCTCAGCTTTTGTAGCTGGAGTCAGTCAGGGCCCTGCCCTCCCAAGGCCAGGTGGAAGAAGTTCAGCTGATCTTCTAGGATTCACAGCCAAGATGGTCTCTTGCCTCTTCAACAGCCTCGGTTTTTGCAGAGAGGGGAGAAAACAAGAGCAATGGGTATTGTTTTCTCTATAAAACACAAATTTGACCATAAAGGACAATGTTTAACATTTCTGCCATTGAAATCAATGGGGCCACTTTTAGTGGATCGTTCCCTATAATTACCAATTTGCAGGTCACCTCTAACATCAGTCTGATGACACACATTGTGATTAGATCACACATAAAGAGCTGTGGCCGTCGTTTAAGAGTTTTATGACACAGTTATTTTGATTACATTGTAAATGAGATTAAAACAGACCCGGCAGGTGAATTTGTTAAAAGTTTCTTTAAAATCTTTGTATAATTAATTCTGAATATAGATGAGATGAAGAACTGGTTCCCATTTGCTGCATATCACTTTATTTAGTCAGCGTTTGATGACTAGCAAACTGAGATCTGCAAAATACAGTGTTGGAGGAAGCATTAAACAATATCAAGCGGTTACCTTACCACATTGACCATAGCATTGACAAATCTGTGGAAAGGACACAGGACTCATTCACGCATATGCATGTCCAAACTTGGTTGCGTAGAAGTTATCCCTGGGAGAAACCACACAATCCTGGCTGTGAGGATAGATCAGCAGTTCTACAGCCTCTTGTACCTGCTCTGTCCCTGCGTACAAATAATGCAGTGGTTTTCAACCTTTCTGAATCTACAGCTCCATTGCAAGGGCAGAAACTTTAGCCAAATGCTTGGGTGATCAACCACACTCTTACGGATTATATATCCCATTTGATCTCTACAATCATTCTGTCAGATAGGTTAGGGAGACCAAATGTCACCCATCAAGTGTGTTGGCTGAGCAGGAAGTTCACTCCAAGTCCAACACATCATACTCTGTCTCAGTGGCTGGCAAGTGAAATGTACAAACTTATTCCACTTGGGGTCTCTTGAATATTCCACCTGTAGTTTTGTATCTGTGAGAGTCCATTCACAACACTGGTCCAGTGCTTAGAAATTAGCACCGTCCACAGAACCAGTGCTTAGAAACACAACCATGTTGTTGAATGTAATCTCTCTCTCTCTCTCTCTCTTAAAGGAAATGGAAATGGGCAATAAGAGCCCCTGTGGACTTATGGGGACAGCTGGTATGGCAGCACTTTACATCCTGTGTGTAATTGGTTTTGAATGCTTGACAGATTTTTATAATGGCGCTGAGGCACTCAGACCGCCAGGTAACTATTGGGAATAGATTGAGTGGTGGCGAGGCCATTTTCATATAACTTTTTCCTGAGAACCCTTTAGACACACTTGACATCAAAGATGTATTCTCTTTTAAGTTCAAGTGCTTGTCAACTGGTACACCCTTTTCATCAATTTGAAGAAGAGCTGAACACCTGAAACTCCACCTCTCTACATTATTTAATTAAGGTATATATATATATATATATATATATATATATATATATATATGGAATGTAGTTATATAAGAGGAAAGAAAACACTGCCATATAGCTGAAAGAGAGAGACAGGTCTTTTTGTTGTTGCTATATCCTTTGTTATAGGTACTGGAGAACCTGAACTAATTTAGGATGCAATCATATACACACTTTATTGGGAGTAAGCCCGTGGCTTTTTTTCCCAGCCGGAACTCACCGGAACTCAGTTCAGGCACCTCTCAGGTGGGCGCCATTGCCATTATAAGATAGGGTTGCCATATGTCCGGATTCCTTCAGATGTCTCTAGAATACTGCAGCCGTCAGCAATGTCTGGGTGGAAATAGAGAAAATGTCTGTGAACATCCAGACGTATGGCAGCTCTTGTCAGCAGTGCCGTTTTTGCCATTTTCCCATATAAATAGCTCAAAACAGGTGTTTTTTATTTGTAATTTTGCCCAAAAAGCTCAACAACTTTGCCAAGTAAAGCTTAAAAACTTTTCTGTCTGGATTTTCACTGTTTGAAATAGGACAACCCTATTATAAGAGAAGGAGGGAGGTGTTCATGGTGAGTTCCGGCACCTCTTTTTCTAGAAGAATAGCATTGAGTAAGCCCCATTTAACTCAGCATAACTTACATTTGAGTAGACATAATAGGACTGTGCTGTTAGGCAGTAGTCCTACACATCCTTCCACAGCCCACACATTCTGTGGGGGCAGGGAAAGGAATGTGGTTCATGCTATTGCGGTCCCACTTGCAGTGACCCCACCCCAAGCCTGGCCAGATTGCCTGCAGAATTCAAATTGCTGGCCGGTTGAACTCCCAATGTGTCAAGCGGCTGGCCTGGTGATTTCCCAACTGCTCCCTGCCTGAATAGACATTGCTCCCAGTGGTCTTGGAGCCTGACATGATGGGCCACAACCTCCTCCCACCTCTGACTGGGTAGGTGGCCATTTTCATATTCCATTGTGCTGCTCCATATTCCACCAGATTTGGTTGAAAATAAGAGCAAACGCTGTAAGACGGAATGCTTTTGTTTCCAGTACCAGTGCTTTTAAATGCTGCTCACCCAGCTGCCGCCACCCCATCCGTACACACCAATGTGACAGAGATATAATTAAAGCAATGAAGGTGGGAGGGAGAACTCGTCCCAAATGCCAATTCCAGAGATCTGTCAAAGTCCATTTAGCATGTGAAAACATCCTGCATCTGCCTCCTCCCCAAAGACAGTAATGTATCACTGCTATGCATCAACACCCCATATTTTTGAATCTCAGGCTTCCCTACTGTGACCATTTTAAAAGGCCTGATTAATATGTACAGCAGCTGGTGACAAGATATTAGAGCTGTAGCTTTTGGCTAAGTGAAGATGTGGAGACACCTGGCTGTAAAAAGTGCTTTAGGCAATAAACACTAGCAATTCCTAACTCCTCGACCAAAATGTTTAAATTGAAACAAAATCAACTATCTTTAATAGCTTTTGCATGGAGTGACTGCTGGGGCTAGGTTAATGTGTTTTCATACCTGAGACAGAAAATCCAGATTTTGCCACCACCACCCCAGTAAAAATTGTATGTTCCTTCATGAACATAGAGTAAGGTAAAGGACCCCTGACAGTTAAGTCCAGTCGTGAATGACTCTGGGGTTGTGGTGCTCATCTTGCTTTACTGGCTGAGGGAGCAAGCGTTTGTCCGCAGACAGTTTTTCTGGGTCATGTGGCCAGCATGACTAAGCCACTTCTGGCACAACGGAACACTGAAACCAGAGCAGCACACAAAAACGCTGTTTACCTTCCTGCGGGAGCGGTACCTATTTATCTACTTGCACTTTGACATGCTTTCAAACTGCTAGGTTGGCAGGAGCAGGGACTGAACAACGGGAGCTCACCCCGTTGCGGGGATTCGAACCACCGACCTTCCGATTGGCAAGCCCTAGGCTCAGTGGTTTAGACCACAGCGCCACCCGTGTCCCATTAACATAGAGTAGAGAGGGCTAGATCTTCCCTGCTCTGTTACTGTTCTGTGACTTCACTTTGAGTAATGTGGATAATTCTTAAAGTTGATTTCAGAATGCGCACACACAAGGATTACTACACTTTACAGATTTTCTTTTCTTCTTATAAATGGCTGATGTACAATGGTGAGCATGAACATGGATGAAATAAGAGGAAATGAAGGACTCTTGAAGTAATCACAGAATAAATCATTTTCCTTTCTGTATGGTGATATAATAAACGTACATGAATGTTAGTACAAATTGGTAATGGAGGGAAAATAAAATGAGTTTCAAACTGAAGAAGTGCATCATATTCCGCCTGTGCATCATGATTTGAACAAAATCCAGAAATTCAAAAGTAAAAGGAGGAGGGAGGATTTGTAATCCATTGGAACCACTCTAGCAATAAGAGCACTGCAAGACACCAGTCAGTACCTGGAACAGGAGCAAAATCAACTAAATTAACATAACTTTGAGCTATTTGGGGCCTTCGCCCGCTTGTCCCTCCCCTGTTGCCTCTGCTGCTGAGCTCAAAACAGAGCTTGAGCCTGAATCCGAGCCGCCCGTGCACAGGAACATTTTTTTAACCTCCCCCCAAACCCAGACATTTGCTTGCAATTGTAAAAATCTCCCTGGATGTGCATATAGGTCCCCCAAAACAGGACAAGTCCGGGGTTTCCCAGACGTATGGCAACCCTGTCCTAATATATGTTAGAAATCAAAATTCTGAGTTACTGTATAAATCCCAGAGACAAGGAATTATTTCTCCTTTACACTCAGCAGGGTGCAGATAGCAGAATCAAAGGCCAGCCCCATAACTGTCACCCCACCACATGTATATGTGACAACTTTATTGTGAACTGTTGTGTCTCTCCATGCCCCTCTCTGCATCGCTTCACCCCCAAAATACTGTGTCATTACATCTTTTGTAGTCACCAAATTGTTGCACGTAGCCCAATTTGCATGTACCACCAGGTATTTGTAGGGATCCCCACTTGAAATTTTTTGGTGGTGCTGCAGAAACCAAGCTGCCAGGATCTGCCAGCTCTGATGACTCCTTCTCCCCTTCCCTTGCAAACTTGGCTGCTTATCCTGATGAATATAGAGGCCCATTGGGTGGCAGTTGTTTCCAAAGCTCTTTATTGAATCAAGCTCAACAAAAGCTGCCTGGGTGAAGCGTTGGGTCTGTGGATCAATTAATATAATTTATGGCTGCAAATACGTTTCACCTACCTAGCAATCAAGAGCGTTACTCAACGTTTGATTTATTATCCCAAGTAGCTGTTGTTTAATATCAACATCTGCAGGGGCTAATTTAGTCTTCAAAAGAATGAGCAGTGCTATTGTTGTAAATAAACCCTGAGTGCAGAGCGGCAATAAAGCAGCATCCGCCATGTGGTTTTCATTCACAGGGAATGTGTGGATATGAGCCTGCTTCTCGATGAGGCTGGAAGTGAAACGTTGCCGTGAGCCTGGTGATAAATGAAGATACAGTGTCCTCTAACGAGCGTTCAGGAACTCCAGAGGCATTCGGAAGTCGGGCTGTAATGATAAACTAGGATGTGATGGGGCTGCCCAGTGTCTTCGAGCAATGCATAGTTCAGTGAGTCGCATTACTCAGTCAAGTTTTCTTTAATGCACGGGAGTAGTCAGGACCAAGTTCCTAAGGCTCACCCTGAAACAATTCTGCTGAAAGAGGTTTATAATGGATGGCTGGGAAGCTGTACGCTTCCAGATAGTCATGCAGATGAACAGGAGATGGATGGCTGAAGGAATCTGAAATATATTTGAGGGCAGGGTGTGGAGGAGGAAATGAATTTGATTTTTATTTGATTTTTTTTGGTTTTGGTTTTAAATACAGTTGTACCTTTGTTCTTGAACGGAATCCATATGGGAAGTTCCTTCAACTTCCAAAAACTGCTTCTGATTGGCTGCAGGAGCTTCCTGCAGCCAATCAGAAGCCGTGTAAGCTGCGTCAGAGGTTCGGCTTCCAAAAAACATTCACAAACCGGAACACTCACGTCAGGGTTTGCGGTGTTCGGGAGCCAAAACATTTGAGTCACAAGGCGTTCCAGAACCAAGGTACGACTGTACATTTGCTTCAAATGCTCCTAGGCTGCCTTCTGAGGTAGCTTACATAGAAAATGTGATAAGGTACAATAATGACCGTCCCTCCAAGTGTCCCTGTTTTCCAGGGACAGCCCTGGATTTACAGAAGCAGTCCCGGTTTCTGATTTGGTCCCAGAACATCCTTTCCTTCAAACATCCAGTATCAGTATCAAACTTTATTTCAGTCACACACCAGCATAAGATAAAACTTCGGATAAACTGAGATCATAAGACTTAAAGCAGGTAAGGGATAAAAACTAATACTTATAAGGTGATTATACCATTTGTAACTTAAAAAGATAAAAACAAGGACAAACTGTTAAAAGTGATTACAGTGGTACCTCTGGATGCGAACGGGATCCGTTCCAGAGCCCCGTTCGCATCCTGAAACGAACGTAAGATGTGACTGTGCGTCTGCGTGTGCGCAGGTCACGTTTCGCCACTTCTGCGCATGCGCATGACGTCATTTTGAGCGTCTGTGCATGCGCAAGAGGTGAAACCCGGAAGTAACATGCTCCGTTACTTCCGGGTCGCTGCGGAGCGCAACCCGAAAATATTTAAGCTGAAGTGTATTCATCCCGAGGTATGACTGTATAAGGGAGGAAATGTAAAGGAGTGCAGGTCTTGCA